GGGAACCTAGAAAGTTGAAGAAGGACGTTTGATCGCCTATTAGTGAATTGCGGATAAATCTGGTATCTGAATTGGAGTTTTGGTTCTGTTGTCAATTTCGGTTCGTAATTTGCAAGTAGATCGATAGTCCGTACTTCAATAAGTGGAACGAGCAAAACTTGGACGTAGCAGTATGACCATGCTTGCATGGTCGAGCCATGCTATCCAATGATTTCTATTTAATTGAATTCATTGTACACGCCTTCTCAATCTTTGTGTTTTTCTCCGCTTTAAATATTGAATATCTACTTTCCCAGTTGACTCTTGTTCAGCCTTGAGGACTTTGTGGTTAAGGCCCACTGCCACAAAAGCTTTCTTCCAGAAATCCTCCCAGTACTAGCAACCTCGCATGATTTGGAAACGTAATACGTGTGATGATGTTCATCTGTTTTGTCCCGACTATTCACCCAATCAATACCCGATCACCTGAATGACAAAATGTATCGCAAACTTCAATTGCAACACCCTTGTATTCGTAATCGTGTCTTTGAACGTTGTACTGAATCGCTCCATTTACGACACTGTAACACAATGGACAAACGAAAGCATAATCGTTGCCTCGAAAATTTATATGTTGTTAAATGAGGAGTGAACAAAACGGTGAAATCCCGATACAAGTTGATCAGTGCATATAAATATGGAAAGCTGAAATATTTAGACATGGTCACTCGTTGGAAGAACTTAACTATACACTTTTCATCAACAATTTAGATAATTTCATCTAAAATCAAAGTTATAACTCACAGCACGAAGGTGCGCAGATATGAGGGATTTTCAAACACGTTCAACCAAACATTTCCAAAAATGATCCTGTAGTCAAACAGTGAAGATTCTGTTGCAAGTTATCAGTCATATGTTACGAAGTTTAATAAAGTCAGTGACTTTTATTTATATTATAGTCATTGCCTAAATAATCCTAACTGTGTAAAATGTTCTGAACTTTGGATAGACATTTCCAACTTTAATTCTTGACTCATTAAGTAACTTTGAAGATTGAGTTGAAAAGTAACGTGAAACTCAATGCTGATTAGTTAATAAGATTCGGTAGAACTAATGAATAAACAGAGGTTTAGATTGAAAACTCATTGTCACACAAGGGTTTGGCTGGTTTGGGGAATAATGAATGCTGTTGGTTTCACTACTTGGTTAACTCAGAAAAACAATATACAAATGACGGAAGTCGACTGTTCAACGCTCAAACAGTCACAAATCAGAAGAAAGAAGAAGTAGGAGAAGCGATTTTTGGGTAAAAGTCAAAAACGTACAGAAAAACATGTGTATTTATGGTTAGTAGAGTTGAATATAACCTCCGTATAACTCAGCCAAACCTTAAGGAGACATTTTGTGTTGTAACTTAATCTTTTGTGATAATATAATACAGTTCTATCCGGTTCACTTAGTATTCAAGCTATTAACTTCTTTTTTGCTCAAATCTTACGTCAACCGAAATGGTATAAATTTGTAATATTATTTTAATACTTCATATTTTACTTAGAACTGGAGGGAAATTGCCGACTGGCTATTTAGCACCTTGGCCGTAGACGAACGCAGACAGAGCTTCGCATAGCTTCATACTGATGAAAGATAAATATAACACTGAAATAAAGCGTGAAGATTTGAATCTGTCTTCCATCCAAGTTGGGCACATGTGACTGATCATTACAAATCACTAGAAATAGTACTGTGTGTCAGTGTCCATCCCGAATAGCGTGAATAATTCACTTAATCAAATTAACTTCTTTAAACGTATCCACGATTTCAAAGAAAATATTCATATCCTGCGAAATGGTTAGAGACTTGCTCCAAAACTTGTTTGAGGTTTACAAATTGTATGTTCTCATCCCTGCTCAAGGGATTAAACTGAAGACCTGTTTTTAAAAATACAATGAATCAGTGTAGAATGACAAAACACCATATTACTAGTGATAACCTGCTTCTTGACAGAGTACCTGTGAATTTTAATACTAAACCACACCTTATAAGGAATCATTTGAGGATAGATCACACGAAAGTACATAAGAACCTCCCATTATTTGGAGTCTGTAAATTGCGGCATCTGATCCTTTTAAAATAATTTCGGTACTCACATCAATCCTCGTGGCAGAGAGAAACAACTCCAAATGCCATTGTTTGTTTCTGAACCAAGTTTCGTACTCACTGTTGATCATGATGAGCTCTCTTGTTTATGATCTTTATAATCTTGAAATCTAAATCAGTAGTATAATAAATCAGTCTTAGCTAGTCCTCACTAGTCATATGCATTAAGTGAAGGTGGATGCTGCCAAGATCTGAATTAATAGGTCGTTCATCTCAGGAGTTTTATACTCAAATTCTCTTTGTATTAGAAATAAATTTTCTGGACAAGGGGTACTGATGAACGAATTCGAGCAAGTCAGTGTAGCTATGACCAAGACTCGATTAGTCCATGGCTTTGACGCGACTCCAGAGTTATCCGGATACCTAAGATATAATATTGATAAATGCACTAAAGATCTGGCCGTCATATATATGTAGCTAATAATATGAACATCCGTTCCTATGTTTGTGGATCTCATGATAGTAGAACCTGTTAATTCATCTGCTGTGTGCTCACCATTGAATGTTGTACATTTATAATTGGTGTTATCTATCTTAGCCAAATCTGCTTAGCCGATGACTTTATTTTAAAGCGCATTGAGCTAAGTAAAAATAATAGATGCCTGATATTAAGAGGTTTCAATGCATTTGATATTACTTGGATATAGATGGACACCGTAGAATCTGTAAGCTCTTTCAATAATAGGCTCTTCATGGCGGTGATGGAGCATGCTTTAGAACAACATTACCCCGATCCATACTTTTTGGTTCAAAACAGGGATCTCCTTCGCTCGACTTATTAATCGATCATGTGACCGCGTATAATGTATATCTAAATAATCACCCAACTTTGTCGAATAACGATTATTCTACTTTGTCATCCATGTCTACAGCTCGTAACGTAATATGTGATCTGGGTAAATCCCGCTCAATTTTATAGAGAAAACATACCTCGTTGATACTAGAAAGAAATGATGTTGCAAAAGCTGAGGCCTGATTAGAAAATTTTAGTAGTGTTTCCCATAGAAGATAGTGAAAAACCAATAATTGATCATGATAATGGCAACTTGTTGATGAAGCCTGTGGTTATAGATAAAGGAACTATCATATGATTACTCCAACATCTCAAACTAGAAAGTTTAGTGATCCTGACCACATTTGTCCTAGAATAATGAAACCTTGATGGGCTTAATTGCTGAAACTCTCACCATATTGTTGGATATATCTTCGAGGATATTCAAACTGCCAAGAGACTGGGAAGACATAATTACCAGTCTGGTTCATAAAGCGGGGGTAGGGACTTAGTAACTATCTACCCGTTAGTCGAACAAATGTATTTGTCAAATTGATGGAAAAAAATATTCAGATGGTTACTTTAAACTATGGAAGGACATAATCTTTTATCCAGGAGAAACGTGCCTTTTGCAAAGACCCATCACGCTTGACTAACCTGCTCATTGCATGAGACAATTTTTTGTGGCGAAATATAGAAATGTTCCGGTGGATGAAGTCGTCATATTTCAAAGCAAAGCCTTTGACAAGGTATCTTACATGAGTCTTTAACTAAAACTTGTAAGTTTCGCGATCCACTATTAAATCATAAACTAGTAAGTGACTTTTTCGACGATAGAAACCAGGGGAAGGCAGCATCACTGCCATGCTGGTTGTCTGAAGGAAACATCTTACTGCCGTCACACCTCTGTACAGTTAGCAGTACGAATTCACTCTCGGACCTTGGTTTTGCTGCTTTTAGTCTTACCGCTTTCCAACTGATTTGTCTGGCATGGTAGAACCTTGATTAACGACTGTTCCAGCCAGTATGGTTCGACTGGTTCATCATGATAGGCAAGCCTGACCAGCACGTCAAGGTAGCAACAACGGTTGGGTCCTTTACTGTATTCTTACACACAACCTTTCTTTTATACATTCCTAACATTGAAGTAATTGGTTCTATGAATTCGGTGTTCATCTTGTTGTGCTAATGAGGTGTGGCAACTTGGACCGATGCATTTGTGTGCTTGGTCCTACGTTGTAGCTGACTGACTTTTTCGTCCTCTCAATTGCATAAACAACACCCTCGCTGCGAGAAGGCAATGAGTAGGACTTCTCTAGCAGTGGCTGTATGCACGATGGCCATGTGAGGGCATTTCGTGATGGAGGGTGGACTCCCCACTCTCATCTGGGGAGGCACATACGTCAAAGGAGACTCACCGATTGTAATCCCTAACATAAATGGTAAGATTTAAACAACCAATTTAAATGAATTAAGATGATATCTTGTTTAGAAAAAATGAATTTTGTAAATGAAAATTTGGTCATGTTTAAAATGAGATTTTTGGGGGGAGATTAAGAAGCAAATATATGTACGCCACTGAGATTTATTACGACTCGTCTCACTTGATGTCTGGTAACATATGGTAAGTTTATCACCCTGATCACGATTAAGGAGTTCAGAGCAATCCAAATTGGCTTCGTAGTTTGTTAGTAAATGCCATTTGGATAATTTAGACGATCCTCATCTCAGTGATTTCACTTGAGGAACTTCGCTCTCGGATTTATTTTTTATTTCTAGTATTTATTCAGAGCGTATATAATCAAATTGTCAAGCAGGATGATATTTGTATTGGTGGTCATGATAAATCGTCAGTGTGTCCACTGCGCTTTTTATAACATAAGACCCTAGATATCTCGACAAGTGCCTTGCAATTAGATCACTGAGATTATTTATATCTAGCTTCTGTCTATCAGTGACATACTAATCTTTGCCACCAACCAACTAAGCTATAGAAAGCCTAGTTTTATTGTGTTTGTATTCTAATACATTTCATAAATAGCAAGTAGCTTTTATTCAATTGTCCTATCTATATTACATCACTAACTTTTAGGATATCTTGAAAATTCCGGCAAATGCCTACGCTCCTCCACCCTATTACTGTTCTAACACCAACGGACATGTCAATACAACTACAACTGATGCTGTTACTACCAATACGACTATTACTTCTGGTACTACGGCTAATACTACTACTACTACTACTACTACTACTACTACTATTAATACTAGTACTAATACTAGTACTACAACTAGTGTGATATCAGCAGTTACAACAACTAACAAGGATGATGCCCAAATCAATAATGCATCATCGAATGCTCACTCTTCTTGTTAATCTGATTTAATTGTTAATTACATACACACTGATTCTAAACATTACAAAAAAGAAACATTCTAAAAGTATAGTTTTTTCTACGTCAAATCACGATAAATGATTTTTGGCATATTAGAAAAACTCGTGTGTTTATGTTTACACACTTATTTTCACTTTCATTTTATTCATTACACCTGTTTGTTTACTTTGGTCATTGTTTCTCTTCACTAAAGTTGATCTGTGGGAGTTCTAAATGTTATTTCTTTACTACATTTTTTTTTCTGCTTGACGTAATTCGATTAATAAACTTAATTACAAGTACTACAAACAGTCGGAATAGTAGTTATAGCTGAATAAATATTTTCACGAGTGCAGGACATCAGAACTATATCTGCTCACCATTCTGATTTGATTTAAGTATATTTTGCGGGAAAATTTGGACTCAATTACATGTTGCAGTTAGCGTGTTGAAGTGTTTTTCATATATTCAGAATTTCCGTGTAAAGTGGGCTTACTCAGTAAAAAGTAGATCATGTAAAAAAGCTATTGTTTAGCCGTCAGGTGATTTGCTTTTAATATTTTATATAGCCGCTTTCTTACATTAGTGATGAACATTAAAATAAAATCTGAGTCACAGCAAATTCAAGCTAGTGACCTAATCCTAACCATTGGTGTTTTTTGAAGTTCGGGATCTTGGTGCTTCAATTGCCTGTAGCTATTCTGAAAGTAATAATTATTTCAAAAGATTTAGTGTATATTTAAAAGAAATGAAATTTTCAGTTTAAGAATTCATGTTGTAGAATTTCTAGTCACGTGAACTTCTTCGTTTCGGGTCTGGCCACTCTCCGTTTTTATTTACAGACGCCATAGATATAATGGTAACGTTCTCAATTTTTCAGGGATTGTTCTTTTTCTCGATTTAGAATATGGAGGTAACAGTTACGCGTTGTGGAGTCGCCTACATTATAACGAGTCTTCTAATCGCCTTTAACAACAGCTCAAGCATAATTAGGGTGCGTCCCACTCCCTTTGAATCCGAAATGCTGCCTCAGAACTGGCTGGCATCATCACCCAGACTGATAATACGGATTAAAGTAGTTAAATGCATCGACCACTTCACCTGTCTTAGAAGTTTAATCAGTATTAATGGGCTGGTGTCTGAGAGATTCTTGGCTTTTGGCAATCTGTGTCCTGAGTAAGACGTCTGACAAATACACTACATAGTTTGCTTACCTACACCTGTGACTCCCAATGGAGCATAGACCGCCGACTAGCATTCTCCATCTCACTCTGTCATGGGCCTTCCTTCCTACTTCTGTCCAGTTGTTGTTCATTCTTCTCATGTCTGTCTCCATTTCTCGGAGTAATGTGTTCATTGGTCTTCCTCTTCTCCTTTGACCTTGAAGATTACAAGTGAATGCTTGCTTTGTGACGCAGTTGGGTGATTTCCTCAATTTGTGTCCTATCCACTTCCAGTGCTTCTCCATTTTCCTTTCTCCACCGGAATCTGGTTTGTTCTATCCCCCAGTAGGTTGTTGCTGATGGAATCTGGCCAAGGGGATCCGAAGTATTTTGCGTAGACAGCTGTTAATAAACACTTGTATCTTCTGGATGATGTCTTTCGTAGTTCTGCAAGTTTCCGCCTCAACTAGTAGAACTGTCCTGACATCTGTATTGAAAGTTCTGACTTTGGTGTTGTTTGACAGTTGTTTTGAATTCCAGATGTCCATCAGTTGTAGATGTGCTTCTCTTGCTTTGCCGATTCACACCTTCACTTCTGCACCGTTTCTTTCTCCCAGCCCATATCGTCCCATGACATCTTCATGTACGATGTTGTCCATTCCAACCTTGGCGTTTAAGGTGTTCCATCAGAATAGTTAAGTCTTTTATTGGGCATTTTTCAGCGATTGACTGCAGCTTATCGTCGAATTAAACTTTATTGTCTTCATTGCATAGCATTGAATGACGTTCATTTTCATGCCCTCTTTCTTTGTTTTGAAGGAGGCTTTGATGATCCTGGGTCCATGAGATTCCCATTCTATAAGTGCTCTTTGTACCTGTTTGGATAGCATCGGTGCAACTCGTTGTGTATGTGGAGCATTTTCTTCTACATGCTCGAAGTAGAACAGCAGCTCTGCTGAAGCTAGACTTTGTTGTCCAACCTACGTCTAATGTGTTTCACTGATTCTAAGCACTTCCAGGTTGTATCTTCCATTTCTGCAGCAAATTGGTTGACTCTCCCTGAAGGAACTCAGCTTTCATCATGAGACGTCATTACTATTCTAAACGAAGACCTTCTAATTCCCAGGGCAGAGCTTAATCGGATTGGATTATTTCTCCTGGTTAGCGTTTTCTCAGCGAGTTAAGTTTCTACGGGATGGAGTCGTTAACCCCTGTCCAACACTCCTCCTTTATCCGGACTCGGGACCGGCAGTAGCCCCAGAGAGGTGGAGCTGGTGTTTGGGAGAATCTTGGCTTTTGGCAACCTGTGTCCTGAGTGAGATATCTGTCTGCCTAACAAAAGTATAAATAAACTGCTTAACAGCCCACACTGTTTCATATTATGACTGTAAAGCGTGCCCTTCAAAAATAGAGAATGTTCGAATGTTACCAGTATTGGACCAAAAGTGTAGTTGAAACATTCCTCGCGTATTTTTGGACCATTCATTAAGAAGTCCTGAGGTTAGACGCAGAGTAATAAGTAAAGATGACAAGTTCGTTGATAAGGTAGTGGATCTTCAACAACTGGTTTGGTTAGGAAATGTTTTGCGTCAGATCAGACGCCACCTAGACGGTCGATCTTAGCTGACGTGAATGGGTTCTGGAACTCTAGAGGAGGCATCAGTTTATGAATTCCTTAACTGCTGGTCTGAACCATATTTCCGTATGCGGAACACCTGGTTAGGGCTTACAGGATTTTCACATCCAATAGTTGGAGTCGGTTCACGCTTCGAATTGGTTATGATTAAGCCAACTTACTCTCTTCTTGTCACTCATTAAATCAGGAGGTTCTGGATTATCTTGTGGTATAATCATCAATGTACAAACGTTAAGAATACGGACTGAGGATATGTGTGTTTATAGTGCTTTCTTCGCTTGTGACGAATTCTTAAAGTTCAATGTTTTCAAAAATCGACCACCTAAGCTCTGGGAGTTGGTCAGTCTAACTAATATCAAGAGGAAAACATGACAGATTTACAAAGTATAGCATTATATGGTTTTGTAGTCGAGTTGTACGTTTCTATAAATTTCTACTTTAGATTAGTATTTTGAACAGGGATCCGATTAACGAAGCTACAGACTATCTTTTGATGTGACAGATATGTGTTGACCAGGTCCAACTACTATTACGTCGCGCAACAATGTTCGAAGGAAAGTTAGAGAGACCTACATAGGACAGGGGATTAGTCCATTAAACAGTCGGTCTGACCTGTTAGTTTCTTTATCGAGGGGGGGAACAATGATTAAATGTGGTCAAGTAATATAGATTCTGAAAGCTCAATAAAGGTTTTGAATTTGGATCATCTTGGTCACTGCTATGAAGATGCAACTGAATTACAAGTTTTCATCATCATATTAAGGTTGGGTATGACATATTCAACCATCTGAAAAAGTTACAAAAGAATATGCGTTGATCTCACTGACATGGCTCACAGTAAAAGCGACTACATTATTGACACTTTGAACTAAGATATAACCACTTACTTCACTCCAAGCCCTAACTACTCCAAAAGTAATCGTTCAAAAAAGATCTATTTGACAAATGACCTGAAAGAAGTCCAATTATATTCAAGTTCATTCGGTCACATATCGACAAAATTCGGTAATTATTAGTTATAGGAATTATCAACTGAATAATTGTCTCTTTAATGTAAAATCACAAAATTTAATTATATAGTATTGTATCGGAAATCAAATGAACAAAGTTCACACTATTCGAATATTAACTAAAAGGAAAACACATTTAGAATCAATAAGTAATTGTAGATTGTTAACTTGGATAATATGCAATAAAATGACGTGGTTGAATGATAGTTACTCAATAAGACCGGATTATTAACTCAAACCCAGGAATAAACTGATACAGAAGATATGACCACTACCCAGAAGAATACTTTCTCTATCTATTTAAATAATACTAAAGTGGCAATAAAGCTAAGAAATAACCATCATGTTTAATTTTTATGTGACATAGAAAAAAGACATTAATAGCTATTTAATCATTTGATTTCCGCCAGAACTCCATTCACAGGTTAAAGGTTAACCTAAAAAGAAGTCTATACCTTGAATTATTGGTTAGAATAGTTTATCAGGTTTGCTTTAATAGGACCAAGTTGTGGAAGTTAATATACTATCAGTTTGATATCACTGAATAAGCTAGGTGTGAACCATTAACTGGTTCTTCTTTGGTTATTAACAAATCAAGAAACATTTAAATCTCAAAATTCAGTGAGACTAATTTGTGGACGACCTTCGAGTAACGCCAAAGTGACCTTGAGATAACTCACAGGGTGAATAGAGGGTTACAAACTAGTATGAGGAATTAGGATCAAGATTTAGAATGAGAAGTTAAGGTTAGGAGTTCGAGTCTGAGTTTTCATCACGAAGTGACATCAGCTTTAATCCAAATTTTGCACCAAAATCCAAGACTTGCTATTCTCAATTTCACTAGTTCGTACATAAATTGTTGTCTATCCTAAACTTTTCTTAACAATTAAAATGATTAAATTAAATGAACTTATTTAATATTTATTGTTTGTCATTAATAAAAATAAGTGCCCACCAAATACAATGTGTTTAATAAATCCAGTCCAGTTTGTGAAGTTCATTTAACCACTTCACATAGGTAAAGTGATACTATCACTTCTTCACGTTTATACAATTTTCAACCTGAAAAAAAAGAATTTTTCTTATAATATACCGTGATAAAAACTGCTTCACTTTATTGTATGAGGTTTCAATTATAAATATCTCAGATATTTACTAATTGGCACGTACAGACACTCTCAAATATTACTGGC